GGATTTGATAATTTCTCTAATGCTATGAATCGACAAAATTTACGATCCATTGAAAACCGAAAGACGACTTCGAGGAAAGAATACGCCGACGAAAGTGGGAATAACGGCACAACTGATAGGTATTGTATATTTTGTAAATAATTTAAATTTAAAAATATTGTTTAATGGATTTGTATGCAATGGTCAGATGGCTTGACGATCACTTTGGCTCCAGTGATGAGAGTGATATCGTTGAGACGTCCAAAACCAGAACCGGAAAGAACGTGATCAATGTTAGCCGAACTGGAAGGACATCGACACCCATTTCGGCCATTTCTGGTGATTATCATTCGGTCGACAGAAGGAATCGACTCCAACAGCGGTCATCCAAATCGGGACAGCGATACACATCGACCGCAAACTATTACGCGAAAGACTCGAGAAGTCCGTCGCCGACCGACTACTATAGGCCCTCTTCTCGAGCCTCTCGTATTAAAGAAGACGCTTCAGTTCAGGCCTCGCTTTCTGATGTAATTTGTTTAAAATTTGATACATAAATGAAAGTTAAATTAATTTTACAAATGTTGACACAATTGATACACTATTAGGACGAGGAAAGATCCAATGACTTCAAAGGCAGGACTCAAAAGATATCGTTTGAAAAGCAGGACAGAAGCCGAAGGACTGACTCGAGAGCCGATTCGCGATCAGAAACTCCGAGTCGACCCGAGAGGACCTTTTATTTTGGTGATGATAGCCATCAGCGCAGAGAACATCGAAGCGATAAACAGATTATCGAAGAATATCTTAATAAACAAAAGTATTCGACAGAAGAAACTCATCGAAAAAGTGATTACAATAATAATGAAGACTCGAGAGGATATGTGACGGCAAACATTCACTCCAATAGCAAATCCACTCTAAATAATCGAGTTTTAGATGAATCCAAATTTGATGACAACTTTGAGAGGAGTTTTAAGGGAGACAAAGAGAGGGATGACGTCGAGCACAATCTGAACCGATTCATGGATTGGGACAATCACTATAAGGTATCACTCATTTGTCATTCAATTGAGTTTACAAAAGAATTAATTTTGAAATTTAAAATCAGAGCATTAAATCAACTGAAGAGAAGCCTTATTGGGAATCGACTGAACCTAAAAGCTTGAATTCCAGTGAATATATTCATCCCGTAATTCAAGACGACTTCTATTCGTCGAAAAGGGATCCGTTGTCGAGACAACGAAACTTTGATTCATATGTCTCACCGCCGCCGCTGTATTCGGACACTGACTACAAATACAGGCCGTCGACGAGCCCTCCGACCTCTTCGGGCGACACGTGGACTAAGTATAAGACCAGAACCCGATCGCCACTATTCCGGTCGTCGTCGCCGACCGACAACTTTCCAAAGTTTAGTCCGCTTTCCACTAATGCGCTCCAAATCAAGAGTTTTACCGACTCTTACGCTAACGGAAGAAATCATTCATCAAATTAATCACTTTTTCATTAAATCTAATTTTAAATTACTGTCAGAAACTAAGAATCACTTTACAATTGGAGAGCGAATTGTAACTTAATTTTACTAAATTAATTAATTATAAAATTTATTTAAAAATGTTTAGCAAATTCCTAACTAAAACTGGTTTTAAATAATATTTTATTAATATTTGTCGAAATTGTGCCAAAAATTTATCTTAAAATTTGTTAACAAATATTAATAACGGGACAAAAGGCTTATAATTTGGAGTCAATTATTTTACAACTTTNGTCAGTCGAGTCGTCCATATCTTTAAATCTTGAAGTATTCATTGATAGTCTTTGATAATTATTTTATTATTTAAACCAATAGTCAATTAAAATACATTATTTTGTTTACAAATATAAGCCATAAATAAATATTGTTTTTCTAATATATGATGAATCTATTAAAAAACTATTAATATATCTAATTATTTTCGCTATTTATAAAAATTATTATAAACTTATAAAATTGTCAATTATTTTCATTTTAAACGTTTTAATGTCAATAAAAATACGGTAAATAAAGTTTACATTCTGTTGTAATTTCTTAAGTAAATTAAAATTTTAGTTATTTTAAAATTAGAAATTAATGCGAAATTGGGCGCAAATATATGAACAGCTTTTTAAATACGAAGTGAAATTAAAAATATAGTTACGTTAACGTAATATGAAAAACATGAATCAAATGAGGAAACGTATGCATCAGTTATCCGTAATTTGATTCAAATTTTTAAAAAAAGAATTGAAACCAATAATTGATTTCTTATTTAAACACAAATAATACAAATGTTTATAATTTTAATTAATTTTGAACGAAAGGGATTCTTCAATATTATTGAAATAATTTTCTGATTCTTTTAAATAAATGTAATTTAACACTATTTTAGATTTTGACGCACACTTTAATATAATAAGTACATACGATATATTTATATAAATTAATTTTTTATTAAAAATACATTTAATAGTCTTCTTCATGCCTCCAGAAGATAACAGTCCAAAAAAGAGAAATATTTTGAACATTTTGTTAAAAATTTTTAGTCTAAAGTTTCAAAATTTAGAAAAAAGGAATATACTGTCGATTATCTGATGTGTTATTTAAAAATGATACTAAAATATAATTAAGGAATAGGTGAAACAATCTAGATTAAAAATTTAGGCCAACAGGCATATTTAGCGGGCATAATTACCATAATTAAATTAAGAATAAGGTTTAATAGTTTTAATTTTTGCCCCACTACTGTGTAAATATTTTATTTATATCTATTAATATAATGTTCACTTAACTCATATGTTTTGGAAAATTCCAAAAGGGGCTAAACTTTTACATTAGGTTTAATCATTAACATTGAATTTAATTATGAATGGTTTAACATGGTTGAATTCAATGAAATTGTTATGAATCACTATAATCAGATTAGATCTAATGTTAAACTTAAGCCCCTTTTGGACTGTAAAAACTGATAAAGTTTATAAACTTTATATTCATTCATGATTCATGAGTTATTAGTAATAAATACCATGTTTATATGTTATTAATTAATAATTATTTCAAATAATTTATTTGTAAATATATTCATTCATAAGGTGAGATAATTGTAAATATGAATGATAGTAAACTATTTGCATTTATTAATATTTTTGAGCGTAAATATATTGGATGGAAGTTCATGGAACACAATCACAATAATGCAATTCTTCAACTAGAATCTAGTTACTAGATACTTTTATTGATGTGCACAACTGCTATGATCACAAAATAATATGACACTTAAATTGTTACCCGAGATGTTTAAATCATATCATTTAACTTAAATTATTGATTTAAAAATTCAAACAATTTTTAATGTTATTGTGATTTATTTAAAAACTTCTTAAATATAAGAAACTTAATAATTGAAACAAAAAACAATCTCATTATTAATGTATCACAAAAAACAGATTTATATCAAAATATTAATAATTAATTGAATAAAATTGTGTACAAAGTTGTAAAATAATTGACTCCAAATTATAAGCCTTTTGTCCCGTTATTAATATTTGTTAACAAA